TGTTGAAAAAGGATACTTAAGGCAGCAGACGGGACTCGAACCCGCACCCTTCGCAATCCGGGCGAATGCACTGACCAATTATGCTACCGCGGCCCTCACGGACCGCGTCGAAATTCCTTCTAGCTATTCTTAAGCTGCAAGGCAGCGCCATCTCTTCGCATTATAGGTAAACCTACAATTTTTTTTCTAGTTATATTTTCTTTAGATTTAAACATCAAGCAGTTACATGCCTTAAAAATAATAAAAATTATAAGGATACTTAATATAAATATTTGCCTTACAGATAGGACTTCCCATTCTTCAAAGAGGGTTTTTGTGGGGAATCGAAAAGGTAGTCCAGCCGCAGTTTTCAAAATTGCCCTTTGTGCTCTCTCTACCTCAATCATATACGTTTTTGACGATCCACCCCACGATGTAATGCAGTATCCTAACAAAGACTGGCACAAAGCATAATATACCATCTTGATGGTGCGTTTGTCCGCAACGTGGCGTAAGGTCCTAAAAACGTATATAAGTTTCCGTAGTCGAGCAGCAAGTGTTTCTAAATGAGGCTTAAAAGTTAAATTTTCATCAATAATGACGCCAAGATATTTAATAGATTCAGTTCTTGCCAAAGGAGGACAATCACACTGAAGATATTTATTTTTGGAGCAAGAAGGGTTATGGGCTATAATGCGGAGGCATGGAGGGGGAAGGAGGTTTTTCCTATAAGCAAAGGCTAAATATATAGTTTTGCTAACATTTAGAGAAAGCAAGTAGCTTTGCATCCATGAAACCACCATTTCGAAACCTCTCTGAGCGTTATAAAAGGCATGTTCCCAATCTTTTCGATCTCAATGCGTTAAAATAGGAAATATTAAAAGTGATTACCAGAAAATTACCTGCTATGGTATTCCCCAGGGAAGTATAATCGGCCCTACCCTTTTTCTCGTTTACATCAATGATTTATGTAACCTTAATTTAAAATGTGGTAAAATTATATCTTACGCCGATGATACGGCCTTGATTTTTAGCGCCAATAGTAGGTCAGAATTATATGAGGTAGCTCAACTTGGTCTTAATGGTGTAAATAACTGGCTTCGCTGCAATTTACTAACACTGAATACTGACAAAACCAATTATATTCACTTTTCTATGCGCCAGCCTTGTCATGGGTTTACAAATCCTAACTTATACGCACACCAATGCCAATATCCTTCAGTCAATAAATGCGATTGCCCTTTAATACAGAACACATCCCATATAAAATATCTTGGTATCTTAATTAACGACACATTATCTTTTAGACAGCATATTGCAAATCTAGTAGTCAGGATCCGTAAATTAATGTATATTTTTAAAAAATTACGTACCATTGCAGGTCCAAAACTAATTAAACAGGTATATCAGGCCTTATGCCAATCAGTAATTCAATATTGTATAACTTCATGGGGTGGAGCTCTCAAAACTATTTTAATCCCTCTCGAGCGAGCTCAGAGAGCCATTTTAAAAGTAGCCAATTCACTTCCCTTCTTATATCCTACGCATCAACTTTACAAATACTGTAATGTGTTAACTGTTCGCCAGCTTTTCATTATGCACATCATATTAAAACAACACACCATTTCACCTTTTTGCTCTGATATCACTAACAAAAGACGGAAAGATATAGTCTGCATCTCTACACATGATTCAAAATACATCTTTTCACATAGATTCTCTACTTTCCTAAGTCCTTTCTTATATAATAAGTTAAATAGAGTATTAGGTATTTACACATTAAACTATTTTAACTGTAGAACTGTAATATTTAATTATTTGCACAGCCTGACATACGAGCAGACCGAAGAATTACTTCTTATTTGTAAATAAATGAACGTAACTCCATTATTTACATTTACCAACATTTATATAATGATTACTTTAAGTTCTGTTTTAATTAATTTGTTAATTTATTAAATATTTTATGTATTATTTAGATCATAAAAGCCTGAAATACAGGTACAATTTTAACTGTAACCTAGTTCAGGCATCCATTATTTTGTATTTTATATTGTTATTAGTATTATTATGCAATGTATGACCTTATTTGAATAAAGATATATTTATTATTATTATTATTATAATCTTTACCATGGAAGAAAAGTGCGGTGTCATCTGCAAATGTAAATATCTTGCCATGAGGAAGTTGAAGTTGACATAGATCATTAATGAGCACCAAGAATAAAGACGGACTAAGAATACTGCCCTGAGGTACTCCATAAAACACAGTCAGCTCTTCGCTTAACCATTTATCGATGAGGACCCTTTGCTTCCTATTACTAAGATAGCTCTCGAAAAGTTTTAAAGGAATCCCTCTAACACCGAGCTTTTCCAGTTTTCTCAACAATAGCGGGCTGGAGACCACGTCAAAGGCCTTAGCCAAGTCCAGGAAGATCGTGACACATTTCTCCTTACTGTCCAGTTTCTTAACAATGATATCGGTTAACTTATGTACTGCTTCATTAGTTGATCTGCCTGCTCTGAATCCAAACTGAGAAGGTGATAGGATGTTATTTGTTTCCAGATAGTTCATTAGCCGTTTCTTCATTAGTCGTTCCAGGATCTTGGATAACGTGGGCAGGATAGAAATTGGTCGGTAATTATTAACGCAGTCTTTGTCCCCATTTTTGTGAATTGGTTTGATGACGGCCTCTTTAAATATTTGCGGGAATACTCCAGAATCAAGGGCAAGGTTGCAAATATACGTAATGGGAGTAACTAACACGTCTATATAGCGTTTTAAGATTTTACCAGATATAAGATCCAATCCAACTGCACAGTTATCCCTAAGATTTAATATAAGTTCCTTTACTTCCTCCTCATCTGTGGGCAACATAAAGAATGATTTTCCCGAAGTACCAGAAAGGTCACTTGTACCCACTGTTTGATGATCCTGAGATGCAGCAATCTGAGCAGCAAGTTTGCTGCCGACGCTAACAAAAAATTGGTTAACCTCATTGATGCTTGAACTGATGTTTTTTGCATCAATAAGACTAGAGGCAGTGCATGCTGTCTTTTTGGATCCACTTATATTTAATAAAGCCCACAGTTTTTTCTTATTGTTTTTAGCATTATTCAGCTCTTGTCTTTCGTAATTTTGCTTTGTTTTCTTTAGTATTAAATTGCAATAATTCCGATACCTCTTATAAGTAATCCGGAGTGTTTCACTTTCTGGATTTTTCTTAACTTTTTTATGTAGATTATCCCTATTCCTCATGCAACGCAATATCCCACCAGTAATCCAAGTTTTATAAATCATTTTTCTTTTGGGTATTATATTTTCTTGAGTGTTATGCTGTATTGCAGCCCTAATATTGGAGACGAGAAACGTAGCTGCCCATTCTACCTCTGTGCTGTTGGTTGGTTGGTTATGAATTCAAAATTGATTTTTTTTATTTCTTCATCCATACCATTATAGTTTAAGCGATTGAGTGATTTATTTGCATAATTTAATTTAGTTTTAAGGTTTAAACTAAGTGCCACACATTGATGATCAGTGATTGAAGTCTGTAAAACTATACAAGTGGCATCCAACTTAGTTTTCAACATGATATAGTCAAGACACGCGATACCATGTGTGGGGATAGTGTGACCAGGAAGAATACCGTGACTGGCAAGCACATTCAAATATTCGAATGCTCGTCTATAAGTGGTTTGTTGTACCACGTCTATGTTTATGTCACCGCAGAGAACGATGTTCTTGTAATTACTTAGTTTAAGGAGCAATGAGTTGAGTGAACTGATAAAGTTATCAGTATTATAGGTACCTGGTGGACGATATATACCTATTATGCAGATATCAGCATCAATCTTCAAAAGAAGACAGTTTGCTCCATCGATTTGAGGTTCCTCATAACGTACTCCAAGACGGTCATTGTAATATATGACAACTCCTTCGTTCTGGGTAGTGTGAGAGGTAGAAACAGCATAATCGTAGTTTGGTGAGTTAGGTATGTACTTAGGAGATTTGCGCCAACACTCCGTTAGTACTAAGAAGTCCCAATCAACTTTTGATCTAATAAGAAGGGTACGAAAGTTCGACATATTAAAATTAATACTCCTGACATTCTGCGTGAGAAGCTTTAATCTACTGTGGTGGCTCGGTAGGGTTGTGTTGATAATATCAATATCACACGTATATGATTTGGCTACCGATAATGTATCTAAGCCAGAGTAAATGGGTTGAATATTTTGCATATCACAATTTTTTGCATATCACAAAACACTGTTATATATTAAAGAGAATCTATAAAATTGCTTATATTATGTATACTCTGGGGTCTATAAATACCTAGCACACATGTATTGTTATTGAGTTTTATTAAAAGGCAGTTGGCATCCATATCCTTTGGTTCCTCAACAAATACCTGAAGGTCATCCTTATAATAGATTACTACCCCTTCATTTTGGGTTTCGTTCGAGGTGGAAGCCATTGATGTGTAGCTATATAAGTCCGGTATATAGTTAGAGGATTTGAGCCAGCACTCTGTGAGTATTATTAGATCCCAATCTATTTCGATTCTACTTAAGAGGGTGGAAAGGCCAGGCATATTACATTTAATATTTCTTATATTCTGGGTTAGTAATTTGAGACAATTTGGATGATGAGGGAGATTTGTTCTGACAGATTCTGCATCACAGAGACTAGACTTAGCCACCATAAGTGAATCTAGTTTAGCATTAATAATTTTAATGTTTTGAATATTGCAATCCATTAATAAATGTTATTTTTAACTAGACGTTCAACAATAAAATAATAAAATTCACTATATCTACAAGTATATAAAGTATTTTTTAATATGTTATTTACCAAAATCATTACAACCCTAGACGCTAAATAGGTATGCAATATTAGTGACCGAATATATATGTTATCTGCGCAGGTCAGTTGAGTGTTAATAAAATAATTAGGTATAACCATGCTAAATAAGGTAGGTATATTCAAAGGTAAGTGTTTATTATATAAGTGCGAGTTATACTAATGTATAACTTTATACATTGTATAGGAAAAAAATGTAATGAGGTTATGGTTATTATCAGTCTGCAGTTACAAAAATAATTAATTTTTAAATTAAAAGTATAATGAAGTAATATTACATTCAAATTTATATTATAGTAAAGTTTAAAGACAAAAAAATAAAAACTATCATTGTTTATCCACAGGCACAAGGTTTTTGTACATATTATTAGTCATTTTTTTGCAATACTTAAGTCCGCCTCATTCTCAAAACGAATCGGTTTTCCATCTTCTGCAAACTTGATGTATATCTTCCCAAAAGAAGCCCAAGCCGCAAACAGTTTCTTACACTTCACTTCCTCCCGAGCAAGGTAAAATAGGCGTTTTCCTTTATGCGTTAAGTAGTCTGATATATAAATTATTTTGTAGGACCAGGAATGTTAATACTTTGCGTATTTAGCACGGGTTCTTTATTATTTCGCTTAGATTTATTCAAGTTTTTTAATTTTGTAATTAGTGCTTCTTTCCTTTGGATGGTGGAGAAGTCCACAACAATAGTTTCCGCTTTTGTCCGATAGATATCTCGTATTTCTGAGTCTTGAATGGGAGACGGCAAACCGATAGCTTCGCCTATGTCCTTAACTATCCGGGTAGTCGTAAGTCGATCTTCTTTTTCTTGCAGCGGAATATTACGAATCTCAACTGTTGAGTTATGCGCGTTTTTTTCGAGCATCTCGATCTTCGCCTCTAAACTTTCCACCTTTTTTTTGTAACTCACATTTTCATGCTCAAGGTATGCTATTTTTTTAAATAATTCGTCGTATTGATTTGACATAAATTCCACGGATGTTTTTATTTCTTGGTTTTGATTTATTACGACACTAATGGCACTGTTCAGTGATTCAAATTTTTGTTCTTGCTGGCATTTGAGCTCATCAAATAATACTTTAATATCCGAGTTCAACTGCGGTGATAATTCCGGCTGAGAAAACTGGGTAAGGGACCGTTTTTGTCGCTTTTTTACATTGGTGGTATTAGATTCTGTGCGATCTTTATCCATCTCGTTAATTGCAATATCCGATCTATAATACAGAACTGATCCCAATTTTTGATTTGATTGCATTTTCGGCGGAGAGTGCCGAACCGGATTCATTTTAGTTATGTAAACAAACAGCGTAGGCCTAAATGTGCAGATAAATGTCGTTGGGAGACGGCCACCGTCGTCCGTCTTCGTTGAGTAAGGGAGGGACGCGACCTGCGCGCACGCACTATCTTATTCACTTCCACTCACACAATTTTTTTTTGTTGCGCGTGTCGCTTAGAATCCGGTGTTTGTGAATTTATGTTTCCTATCAAGAGGTAACCACTTCACTATAACTGTCACTGTCTTAAAACTATAACTTCTCGCTCACACAAGGTAAGATATCTCCTAAGGCCTATGTAGCCCTGGTACTGCGGTAGATTTTCGTTGAATTTTTAATACCAATTTAGTATTTTAAATCAAATACTATACTAACGATTTGTGTGTGTTCTCTAATGCACCAATAGTTTCATGGTGATAGGATGTAGAATGCAACTTCTTTATATTTAATAATGTACATATCTCGGACATTACAGAAGACATAAATTCGCTACCTTGGTCAGTCAGTACTTCTTTTGGGATACCGTAACGTAATAAGAAATTATTAGTAAAACATTGAGCTACTGTGTTTGCATCTTTACTTGGTAAAGGGTATGCTTCTACGAATTTCGTTAAATCGCATTGTAAAGTCAACACGTACTTATTGTTATAGTCATCAATGTCAAGAGGCCCCATAATATCTAAACTATTTTTTTCAAATGCTGAATTTGCAGTCGTCGTTATAGTCATTGGTTGCTTTACGTATTTATTTGAGTGTTTATTATATTGACATTGTTGGCATTTGTTAACAAACTGGGTAACGTCGTTATACAATCCTGGCCAAAAGTAATATTGTTTAATATTATTAATCATTCTATTTATACCGGCGTGGCCACTAGTCGGTAGTAAATGAAAATCATTTAGAATTACTCTTTTTTGGTCAGAGTCAGTAATTTTCAATACATTTCTCGAAATTAAAAATTGCGGGGTTAATAAGTTCAACTTTTTTGCTGCTTGTTCAAGACTTTTCATTATACTTTCGTTATATTTATTTTTTATAATAAGAACTTTATCTATATTTATACATCGACACAAAGACTCTAAGTCCCTCGCTAACACCTCTGTGGTTGATAACGATCGGGTACTTAGATAAATCGCTGATTGCGAATGTAAATAAATAAAATAACCCGCTTTTGAAATAACATTTTCCTTATATTTTACATACTTTTCCGGATTTACTTTATCAAAATTCAATTCTATAATATCATTGGGTTTTTTGAGAACTTCTACCGCCACAGGTTGATCAGGCCTGCTTGTGGTAGAGCTCCCTTGGGATAAGTCAGTGCGCTGGTTTTTTGTTTGCGCTCTAGTCAGAACAGAAATATTACTTTCTCTCATTGATTTAAAAATAGAAGATGTGACAGGTATACGGCTCAATGCGTCTGTAGCTGCATTGTGTCGTCCCGGTACGTGTTCTATTTCGAAATCGTACTCTTCAAGATAAAGTCTGAATTTAGTAAGTCTACTAGATGGATCTTTTAAGTTAAATAAATAAATAAGTGGTTTGTGGTCAGTAATTATTTTGAACTTTCGCCCGTACAAATAAGGTCGAAAATCTAAAGAAAGCAGTTACATGCTTTAAAAATAATAAAAATTATAAGGTCGAAAATGTCTAACAGCCCACACAATAGCTAAAAGTTCTAATTCGATTATTGGGTATCTAGTTTCGGCTATCTTTAAGTTTCTACTCGCATAAGCGACTACTTGTCCATTTTTATTCGATAAAACTGCACCCAGACCAGTTTTACATGCGTCGGTCTGTAACAAAAACATATTATTTTCGGCGAAATCGGGATAAGCTAAAATTGGGGGTTCAATCATAGAAGATTTTAATTTTTCTAATGCTGTTTGACAATTAGATGACCATTCAAATTTTGTGTCCTTTTTACACAATTTATTCAACGGGTAAACAATGCTTGCGAAATTAGGTATGAACCTACGATAATAATTTGCAAACGCGACAAAACGTTTTACGTCGTCGCAGTTCATTGGCACTGGATATTTTTGCATAGCTTCAATTTTGCTTTCGTCAGGTAAAATACCGTTTGACGTTATTCTATGGCCCAAATAAACAATCTCTTTACGAAGAAAATCACATTTTGTAGGGTTTAATTTTAAGTTAACTTTTCTAAATCGTTCAAGAACATTAATTAGGTTTTTATTATGATCCTGGATATCTCGTCCTATAACTATACAGTCATCTAAATATATAAATGCTGATTTGTAATTTAAACCGGACATGGCTATAGTCATAAGTCTGGAAAATACACTAGGTGAAGTCTTTAGTCCCATCGGACAACGTTTCATTTGGTACATTTTTGCATCCGATGTGAACGCTGTTAACTTACGTGACTCATTGTCTAACGATAACTGATACATTTTATCTATGCTAAAAGCTGTATATTTTCGGGAGTTATCATTAAGTGCTAATTGGTAATAACTTTGTGAAAGATCTAATTTCGAAAAGTATATATTATTTGCAAGGGAATCTAGAATATCGGTGATATTCGGAAGTGGAAATTTATCATCTACGATACGGTTATTCAGCTGTCTATAATCTATCACTAAACGCCATTTTCTTTCGTTAGACCTGTCTGCCTTTTTTGGTACCAGTAAAACGGGACTAGACCACTCGGACGTGGCCTCTTCAATGATGTCATTTTTTAACATTTCGTCTATCTGATTTCGTATTTCCTCCCTCAATGCATGTGGTAACCTATAGGGTTTTACATAAACGGGTGTCACATTTGGTTTTAAAGTTATGCTGTGCGACATTAAATTCGTAACTGTCAATTTGTCACCAGGCAGATGAAACACATCTGCATACTTGGCGCATATACTCTGAATACTACGTTTTTCCTCTAAATTTAGTTCTGATAGGTCTAATAATTCTAACAAAGTTTTTACACGTGAAACCGACTTGTTTTCTTCGGTAAAATTGCAGACCTCAAAATCTTTTAACGAAAAAACTTCTAAGTCTGAAAAATCAATATCTACCTCTTCCTCTGTAGTATTTAATATCCTAACCGGTATTCGACCTTGAGAAGGGGTCGTAATTAAACTTCCTATAAAAACATCCTTCTTTATTTCTCTCGATAAACACACACAATCGTCGCATAATAGCGTAGGTACATATTTTATTACCTCACACCGCGGCGGTATCAAATGTCTATAGTGATTATCTATAGGTATACAAACACTGATTATTTCTCGATAAAATTAAATTATTTTTCTTATAATCAATGACAGCTTGATAGCGCCTTAAAAAATTATCCCCTAAAATACCATTTGCAGAACAAGACATGTTTTTTAAAAACATACATTTTCTCCCTGAAAATTAAATTATCATATAATAAATCTAAGTAAATATATCCTTCGGACTCTAATTTACCGCTAACTCCTTTTATAACTATCCTATCGTATATAAGTGAACTAATTAGTTCCGAGTAATTGCATAACCATTCGTATTTTAAAACACAAAGGCTCGCACCACTATCTACTAGGAGCTTAATATAAACATTACTAGCATTAAAAGTTACCGTATTTGTATTATTGAAATTTAAAATATAACTATTATCAGTAGGGACGAAAAAAATCATCCGAGTTATTATTATTATTAGAGGAGGAACCACTAGTACTAGGCATATTTCAGAAGGATTCCTTTCCAATTGGTTGAGAAAAATGTTGAATACGCGGGCGGCGAGTGGGAGCGGAGCGCGAGTTTGTGAATCCGCGTCCGCGGCCACGGTAACCGCGTGCGCGCATGCCCCACTGGTCACGCGACATATATTGTTCACCTGAAGGTCTCGTGTTACCTGCGTTATACCTATTACGGTTCATGTTATTTTTATAAGGGAAATGTTTACTATTTGAAAAAATATTATAGTTACGGGAACTGTTATTTAATCGTGGGTTCAAATACCTTATTTTCATAACTTGTTCGTTATCTGAGGACAATGACTGTTCATCAACAGCAGTCCTTATAGCTTCTGGCAAAGATTCGAACTTGCGAGATGCTATGATAGTGCTAAGTCTCTGATTTGATAACCCATCTGAAAAACGTTTTATTGCAATTTTTTCGTTAATCGGTCATAACACATTGAACTTAGTGTTATCTTCGTCTGCTTGTGCTATCGTTAAATTTACAAAAAGTTTTTCTAATTCGGTACCAAAAGACTCAATTGACCTATTGCCTTGTCTGCAGTTCTGTAATTTGTGTTGAATGGAAACTGCTGACTTTTTTTGAATTAAATGTTTATTCATATCACTAAGCAAATCAGAAACCTTTGTATAACTTGATGGTAAACGCAGTTTAGCGCTAGGGGAAAGTCTTGTTTTAATAATAAAATCAATTGGCCATGCGAACTCTCAGTAATCATAGAACTATATAAATCTATAGAGTCAATTAAAGATTTAGTAACGTGCTCTTGACCGGTCATGACGGGCAAAAGAGCAATGGCAGTTTTTAAGTCGAATTTTTCCGCCATTTTTGAAGAATTATCTGAAACGCTTATTAAATCCGTTATTTTGACATATGTGGATCTAATATTATTAACAATAGTATTAATGTCAGCCATAACAATGTTTCATGACTAACGCAGTCAAACGCCTTTGATAAGTCGCAAAAAATGCCAATAGCATCGTGCTTACTCTCCCATATATCAAAGATGTGTTTAAGAAGTGCAGTTCCAGCATCAGTAGTACTTTTGCCTCTAGTGAAACCAAACTGTTTTAAATGAAATAGCTTATTTATAGAAAAGTGTGCTAGTAATTGGTTATAAATTATTTTCTCAAATACTTTACTTAGCGCTGGTAATACAGATATAGGCCTAAAATTGCTGGGATCTGATTTGTCACCAGCCTTAAAGAGAGGGATAACTTTAGCTCATTTCATTAGATCTGGAAACACTCCCTCATCAATACATTTGTTAAATATAATGGCC